GGGGCGAAGCGCGTGGCCGCGCGACACACGGGGCAGGACACCGCGTCGCCGCCGCCCGCCGTGGCCAGGGACAGCCGCGCCAGGCACTCGAGGCAGAAGACGTGGCCGCAGTCCAGGCGCTTGGGCAGCTTGAAGGCGCCGTCGAAGGGCGACACGCATATGAGGCACTCGGTGGGGGACGCGGGGGACAGCATGGGGCCCGCGCCCGGGCTGCCGTCTCCCTCTCCGGGCTCCTCCTCCGCGCCTTCCTGCGGGCTGCGCGGGCGGCGGAGCCAGGGCGGCCGAGGGCAGGGCATGCGGGCCACCGGGAGATCAGACGCAGAGCTGGCTCAGGGTTGGACGGGGAGCAACAGTTGAGGAAAAGGACACCCCTGAAGAGTCTGGGGGCAAGAAGACACCGGGGAGTCAGCTGAATAGACCAGGAGCCCGAAAGGCCCAGGAAGGTGGCAGCAGATGCTCCAGGGAGAGCCCGGGACCATCAGACAGGAGCCTGGCAGGGGTTTGAGACCAGCCCAGCCCTCCCTAGCCCGCAGCCCCATACCTGCGGAGGCCTCCAGTCTGCAGCTCGTCCCTGTTGTGGCCCTTCTGTTGTCAGACTGAGGCCAGGTACCCAAGTGCCCCTCCCTGAGGCGGGGACCACCCTCTGCACGCACCCGTGGAACCCGTCGGGCCACACTCCCCGCCCAGGGTGAGTAGCAGCCTGACTAGGTGGATGGCGGGGGCGACTGAGGGGTGGTGACCAGGGAGGGGAACCCCAGACCCCTGTGCAGTGTCCACCAGGGGAACAGAGAAGCCAGCAGATACTAGGCCTCTTTTTTTCACCAACGGATGGTTCCAAGGAATGGCTCAGAACCCCAAAGTGCCACACAGCTCCCGCCAACGTGCCAGGGGCTGGGAGGTACAGGCAGCCCCATCCTGTGGTTCCCAGAGCCTGCTGAACCTAAGTGACCAGCTCCAGCTCTGACTGTACAGTTCCCATCAGCCAACAGCTGTGCAAGAAGGTGAGCATCCCCAAGGCTTCCAGCCACCCCAAACAACACAGCAAATAGCAGGGCTGGCCATGGGCATAGTTTATTGGGCAGCAGCTGCAAAATCAGCGGTTGGACTTAGCTACACGCTCTAATTCATCCTTCTTCTTGATGGCATAGGAGTTGGAAGAGCCCTGCAAGGAGACAGATGTCAGCTCTAGGTGCTAGGCGATCCCCCCCATGACCACTTCAAAATGACCTCCTCACCCACCTTGGCAGCATTGATGAGCTCATCTGCCAGGCACTCAGCAATGGTTTTGATGTTCCGAAAGGCCGCCTCCCGGGCACCGGTGCACAGCAGCCAGATGGCCTGCAGAGCACAGGGAAAGGCTCAGCACATGGCCCAAGTTCAACAGTGGCTAAATATGCCAACCCTCCTGAGAGAGTAAGAGGCAACATCCTGCTAGACAGATCCCTCTGCCTCCACATCCCAAGAACACCAGCAAGACTTGAAAAATCAGTCTTGCTCTTATTAATACTTTTTTAAAAATCTGATTCCTTTTTTTGTTGTTGTTTTGCAGTGCTGGCGATTAAACCCAGGGCCCCAAGCATGCTACAGATGCACTATGCCACTGAGCTACATTCCCAGCAAGGCTTGCTCTTACACCTCCTCAAGTCATTCAGAGAAACTTCACTATAACAGCAAAGGAACCTTAAATGGTCCAAGAACAAAGAATACTCCCACCAATGCCCCCTAAGTTTTACAGGTGTAGTGGGGCGAGGGAGGAGTTGGAGCTGGGATGGCACAGGGTAGGAATCCAGGAAGCTTTCCTGGAGGAAGTGAGGCTCCAGGTAAAATATGTACAGGGATGGATGAGCCTACCTGCCCAGACGGGACTCCACCCAGACCCAGTGGCTGTTCTTTCCCTGCCACCCGCACAGGCCCCAGACCCACCTGATTCACCCGGCGCAGTGGGGACACATCCACCGCCTGCCGCCTCACTGTCCCTGCTCTCCCGATGCGTGTAGAGTCCTCCCGAGGGCCACTGTTGATGATGGCGTTCACCAGGACCTGCAGAGGGTTCTGGCAGAGGAGGGGTCATGAGCAATGACACGCTGGTATGTGCGCCAGAACTTGGCATGTGTTATTGCCAGCACTGTGGCCCCAAAGCACTACCTCGCCAGTGAGCAGGTGGATGATCTCGAAGGCATGCTTGACGATGCGCACCGTCATGAGCTTCTTGCCGTTGTTGCGGCCGTGCATCATCATGGAGTTGGTGAGTCGCTCCACTATGGGGCACTGTGCTTTGCGGAACCGCTTGGCAGCATAGCGCCCCGCACTGTGGGGCAGGTACTTGGCGTACTTCTCTTTCACTGCAATGTAATCCTGGGCAGGGGGCCACACAGTCAGAAGCAAGATGGGTTCTGCCAGGGAAAGGCCTAGCACCTCACAAGGAAGTGCCAGCTATCTGCAACCCCACTCTGCCAACGCAGCATGATCCCCACTTGCCAAATTACTACTGAGGGAGCAAGGAATGTGACTTTGGGTTTCACAGTGTTGTTCCTCAACTACATTCTGGACATTTGGGAGACTACAGTATCTACTCCACAATGTTTAGCAATACCCTCCACAATTTCTGTTTCTGCAGTACTCAGGACTGTACCCGGGGCTTTCCCATGGAGCTGTATCACCAGCCTCTAAACTTTTTATTTTTTTAAGATAGGACCTTCTAATTCAGGCTGGCCTTGAACTCACAGTGATCCTTCTGCCTCAGCCTCCCAAGTACTGGGATTACAGGCAAGTGTCACCATGTCTGGCCCCTTTTTGAATTTGTTGAGACAGGATCTCACTGTCTCACTAATTCCCAGGCTGGGCCGGAACTTATGATCCTCATGCTTGAGTCCCTGAGCCACTAGAATTATAAGAGTGTGTGCCTGGCACCCTCAATTCTGACACCTAAAGTGTTTCTACATATCGCAGAATGCCTCCTATAGACAGGAACCACCAGCCCACAGTGAGAACCAGTATTTTAAAAGAAAATATCTAGAAAAATGCCAAAATGTTAACCTTGAAAGATTTAAAAGGCAGCAAAGCTATGTGCATGCCAACGGGACTGCCACTGACCCTCCTACTAGAGTGCTAAGGCCACTGTATCTCTTGCATGTGAGAACATATACAAGGTAGGCATAATGGCACATGCCTTCAATTCCAGCAATCTGGGAGGCTGGGGCTGGAAAACTGCAAGATGAAGCCCAGCCTAGGCAACGTGGCAAAAACTCTGCCAAAAAAAGAAAAAAAGACTTCCCAAAACAAACCCATGGAAAAAAAATACCAGACATTTCAGAATGAAAAAGGCCTGAATTATCCTTCAGGCATAATTGCTAAATCCTACATAGTGTGATTAAGGCCAGTCTGAACTACATAGTGTAGTGAAAGCCTATCTCTAAATAAATAAAACAAAAGGGAAGAAAATAATTATAAATCGTTTCTATTTGTTTATAAAAATGCAATTACAAAATACAACATTTACTAAAGGGAGGGGCAATAAAAGTTATAATTCCTAAAGTCCATGAAATTCATTAAGTTCTGGCAGGAAGAAACATTTATGTGTAAAGGAATATGAGAGCAAGAATAAAGCAGGAAGCCAGAGGTGGTATGGTCACACATGCCTGTAATCCCAGCACTGTGGGAGGCTGATGCAGGATCACAAGGAACCCAGCCCGTGCAACTTAGTGACTTATGAAACCTTGTCTCAAAAAGGGTTGGGGATATAACTCAGTGCAAAGAACCTGGGTTCAATACCCACCCCCTCATGTGAGAAGCACTCACAGTGACTTCGAAACTTTTTATAAAGCTTCAGTAATAAAGACTGCTACTGACAAACACAGTCATAGACACCAATGGGATGTAATTCAAAGTTCAGCAATAAACTCATACATCCACGGGCAGGCAATGAAATTTTTAAAAGTATGCCGAGATCTTTCAATTGGTTAGTGCTGGACAATCTGTTATCCACACGGAAAAGAACGATGTTGGCTCCTCCTTTCAAGGGGTGGATTTTACTTTCAGTGAGCCTTGAATGTGCTGGACGAGTGCTACCCAGGCCCACAACAGCCAGTAATTATTATTTCCCTACAGCAGAGTCAAACCTGACAGAAGAATACATGGAATACCACGCTCCTAGAGAAAACACTATCTCACCACAAAAACTGCGGTAACCCTTGGGCAGCACGTTACAAAGAACGGATAGTAGGTAGGTGTTGCGGCACATACCTGTAATCTCAGCATATTCGGAGGCTGAGGTGGGAGCACCGTAAGTTTGAGACCAGCTCAGGAAACAGTCTGAGATCCCATCACAAAAACAGAAAAGGTGGAAGGCCCCAAGTTCAGTTGTTAGTAGGGGGTAGGGGTGAAAGTGGACGTGGAAGTCCAGCCATCTCTTCTTTTCCTGAAATGCCTTCGACTGTCGACTTGGTGGGAAAACTGCAACTCCGCAGAGTCCCCTCCCGGAAGAACCTACACTCGCGGCAGGAAGACCATCACGGCCCACTCACCTGCAGGGAGATGTCATTGATCTGTACATCGTCAGTGCTCCACTTCCCGAAGAGCTTGATGTCAGGGGTCTCGGCCACTGCCGGCGCAGCGGTCTCCCACTCGGTCATCCTGGAGGGGCCGAGGGAAGGGGGAAACGGTCGGAGCCCCGGCAGCCGCGCTCCGCTCTCCTAGGCAGACCCACTCCGCGGACTAGCGGTGCGGCGTCTCTCCCGGCTCTTGGAACGGCGCTCAAGGGTAAGCAGCGCGTCTCCTTCCAGGAGCCGGTGGTCGCCCGCTCTGCGGCCGCCACGCGGAGCCCGCGCTAACGCCCCGCGAGCGAGGCGGCCGCCCACGCACCACACCGGCCAGGAGC